CAAGTTGCCTGGGCTGGCCTTAAACTTATAATTCTTCTGCCTCAGTGTTTGTTTTAGTGAGCTTTTTTTGTTGTGGTGACCAAAAGACCTGTCAAGAACAATGTAGAGGAGAAAAAGTTTATTTGGGGGTCATGGTTTCAGAGGTTCCATGATAAACTGACTCCATAGCTCTGGGGTCGAGGTGAGGCAAAGCATCATTGCAGTATGGTGGAGGAGAATTTGTTTGGAATACGGTAAGAAGGAAGCAGAGAGACCTCCACTCACCAGGGAAAAAATATAAACCCCGAAGTTATGCTCCCAGTGATCCACTTCCTCCGGCCACTCCCCACCTGCCTATAGTTACTGCCCAGTTAATCCGTATCAGTAGATGAATGCACTGATTAGTTAGAGCTCCCATAACCCAATCATTTCACTTCTAAATTTTCTTGCATTATCTTACACAAGAGCTTTCGGAGGCACCTCTAAACCCTAACAGTGTCCTAAGTACTGACTCTGTGCTGGGCCTGGTTTGTTATCTACTTTTTCATTGCTGATTTTTGGGGCCTTGAAGAGTTTCTAGCACATGGTAGGTTTGTTGACTGTTGTTCTTTGTAACAGATGGAGAATTTATAATTTAGCAGATTTTTATTGTATGGGTGGGTGAAGTTGAGGTGTGTGTGTGTGGGGGGGGGTAAGGCAGATGGCCCAGCAGGGCAGATTCTCCAAAAAGCAAAAGCTGGTGACAGACAGGCTTGTAGTTGTTAGGGACTGAGTACAGAGGATGCATATGTCTCAGAAGGAACCAAAGAAGAGACGGGTACCTTGAAAAAGGGGTAGAGAAGGACAAGCAATGCCCTCTGGACTCAAATTCAATTTCATTGAGATCCTATTGCTCTCTTTTATAGTATCCAATAATTTTTCCTTCATTATACTTATAGTTGGAATCCAGCCAGGGATGACTCACTTACTCCCAAATTACACTAATATCTCTAGAGTAGGGATTGGGATTGATGTTGGATATCTAAGTTGAGCAAGGTCCTAGGTTTTCCACTTAGAAGCTGCATGACTTTGATTTTTCTCACTTGTACCCAGGGAGGCTGACTTCTATGGGCTGCCTTACTTAGCTCCCTTGTCATTGGGTTCCTATTAGGATCATTCAATGAGAGGCACCAGCAAGATATCAGAGGTTAGGAGGACAACGTGGTTGGATATGGGGTATTTAACTCTGATGCACCTATTACCCTGTTTCTGGAAACAGCAATAATAATGCTTTGGGTGACTATGTTTTAATCACAAACTGTGCTAAATACTTTAGTCAATTAATCCTCATAAAGACCTTAAGGATGATTGCTAGTCATAAATTCTGACAAAGTGTCCTGCTCAAGGTCAATCTCAACCAGGCAGAGTTGGAACTGAGCTCAGGCCTAACTCATGTCTCTCTGTGCCCAAAGCCTGATATCTCCAGTCCTGGCTGGGGCTGGATGAGGGCAGCTTCCTTGGCTTCCTTCCAAGGGGAAGCTCAGCTTTCTTAGCAGTGTATGTACAAGAATATAACACTTCTTTTCCTTTCTCCCAAGCCTCCTTATCATCCTGTCACACAGGAGGCAAACAGAGTCCCTCCTAGGATCCCTCCTCGGGTTGCCTAATGAGTTTGTAAGCCAGTGAAAGGGGCAATGCTGAGTGTTGGGGTGGGTGTGTTTGATTAAGCTGTGGGGACTTCAAAGTAAGGTCAGGGGTCTGTGGAATCCATCAAAGGCAGCTTCTTGCCAGGAGCCACACAGAAGGATGACAGAATGGGAGGGAGTCCTGCAGAGAGGGAGGGCTGGAGTGGAGCAAGGGAGAGGGCCTGAAGAGGCTGGGGAGGGGGTGGAGCACAATAAAGGCATCAGCAGGAGTGAGGCCTTTGCATCCCACATGAATGATGGGGTTTCTAATAATAAGCTTGGAGAGAGAGTGGGCCCCACAGAACCGGAGAGGCAGAAGGAATGGATCGGAGTGCCCACGCCAAGGACACTGCCAGAGAGCTTGGCTGCAAAGCCCCTGAGGAAAAGGGAGTACAAATTGGCTTTCTCATTTAGCTGAAATATTTGGAATAAATAAACAGATTTCTCTGGAGGCCATTTGATGACATTTGGAGTCATCTTTCATCAGGACTGGGAGGGGGACAACACGTGGGCCCCTGAAGGATAACTGTTTTGCAAATACTTCAATAGGACTATTTGATCACTTACAGGAAAGACAACTGAAGTTTTCCCTTGATCCCACCCTCAAAGAAAGAAAACACTCCATGTATATGTTAGCTCTTAAAAAAAGAAAAAAAGAAAAGAAAAAGAAACCCCAGCATTTTCTTGCTAACTAAGAGAGAAAGAGGACAGCTGATACATTGCTGCCTCACTAGGAATCTCTAAGCAGAGAGCTGGGAGCCTTGACATAACCTTCAGGTATTCAGTGAGGTGGTTCGGGAAGGCTCCTTTCTTCTTGGGAGCTTCTGGTTCAGCAAGAGGGATTTTGTTCTTCTGATGTTTTGGGGGTTTTCCATAGTTCAAGGGTGTTTTTGTCTGCCTGTGTATCCATCCGTGCTTCACAGAAGGTTAAGGTATAAAACTAGGAACTTTTCTTGATTCCGCAGGAAGACTCACTCCACAGAGTACATGGTGTATGGAGGAAAATCCGCTGGAACTTTGGAGCTTGGGGAAGGGATTTTCCTAGAGCAGATATAGATGGACTTCAGATGTCTGTTGGGCATCTTCTAGATTGCAGTCCTTCAGGTACCCCGCTCCCAGGATTTTATGCTGATCACCTCTGTCGCCTGACAAATGGCTCCCACCAGGGAGTCAGCGGGGCAGCTTTCCTTGCTTTCCACATTTTCTGTTGCTTTATTTTTTACACCCTGCATTTATAGCACCATCACCACCACCTTTAAGTTACCATTCTTTCTTAGTAGAAAGATCTTTCTTGTTTAAAACCGTTTAATGATCCCTTTTGATGCCTTAGGTGAGAAATGCCCTTAGAGTTTCAGCTTCCTTTCAGGTGACCTTCTTTTGTGAACTGAATTGGTGGCCATTCCAAATTAAAACCTTGAAGCCCTGATCCTTTGATGTTGTGTAGAGATGAGGGTTTTGATGAGGTCCTGAGGGTGAGGCCCTTGTGATAGGATTAGTACCCTTATAAAAAGAGGCGCCATGTGAAGGCAGGGAGAAGGCAGCCATCTTCAAGCCAGGAGGAGGACCCTCACTCTAACCTGACCATGCTGGCATCCTGATCCTGGACTTCCAGACTCAAGAACTTTGAGAAAATAAATATCTGTTTGTTAAGCCACCCAGTCTGCACTATTATTTATGTCAAACACAATAGGAAACTATTTATGTTTTCTGTGGTATTATTTATGGCAGATAATTCTTTTTTTCTTTTTCTTTTTTATTTTTTTAAGAAAAGGACATTTCTTCTCCACCAGCTACCCAAAGGAATATTATTATCATCTATCAGGATAAATTTTGTTTTTCTATTCATCTCCACACCCATCTATGAGTGCCAAAAAAAAAAAGAAGTCTTGTAAGTCCTCCTGTCAGTATCACATATTATCATGAAAAATCTGCAACATTCAGGGACAATGAATGATTCCTAGTTGTGCTCTTAACTGATTGCCACCTTCCCTAGATGACTGATTTTTTTTTTCTAGTTTATCTGCTGGTCAAGTTCAGTGGTTGGAATGAATAATTTATAAACTAAGTTCCTGTTCTTCAATACCTGATTTGATGATTTACAGAGTGGCAATCTGCATTCAATCCTTGAACAATAGGAAATCCTTGCTTATAGACAGTAGAAAGGCTGAGCATATAAACTGCTGGCAGCTTTTCTTGGGTGTTTACCTATGAATCCAGAAAGATGATTCTGGATGGATGTTTTTTAGTTTACCCCACTTGAATTTCACTTAACATTTAAGATCAGGATTGAAGTATAAAAGACAGTGATGAGTGGTTACAGTTTCATAGCCCACCTCAGGACCTATCTGTGCATTTTTGTGCAGGGATTAGAATGAAATAGTTGAGATGACTTTCAAGGTCTTCCATTAGTCTGAATTATTTTTTAGGGGAAGGCAAAATTTCTACCCTGCATCATTAAAATTCCTCATCATTCTCTAAATATTTATGAAACCCTTAATAATATCTCCTATTACTCTCAGTAACATGATCATTTATCTAAAAAAAAGTGTTCTTTGAATCATCTAAGGATCTTGATAAAATAAATGTCCTAAATCCCTTTTTAATTAAGGAAGACTCAGAAATCCATTGCACCCTGCCCTAAAGCACTCTTCCTTCTTGGCATTTGCTTCTGCTCTATGAATCCAGAGGAATGTAAGAATCCAGGGACAGACTGTTTGGTTTTATCTAGGTCAGGCCTAAAAGACTTCTCATGGGAAGCATGGATTTCCTGTCTTAAGCATGGATTTCATGATCACCAACTCTGAATTTGTAAAAGAGAAAGCTTTGGGGGCTGTAACCAGGAGGCTCACAAACCCAGCTGGACAATCCTTTTAGGGACAAAAATATAGGATCTTGAGTAAGGACATGAGAGTCCAGGCCTTGGCTGTGTGCTTGGGCACAGTTTTCTGCTGTTCATGGGGAGACTGAATGTAAAGTGGTTTCCTTTTCCCATCTTGTCCTATAGGTTACCTGTGGTAGCATATCTCATTTGAGGTCTTCGAGGGAGCTCTATGTGGTTTCTGTCTTCCATGATTAAGCTCTGAACCAAGTGAAAAGTAAGGCAAAAATGAGTCAGTAAGCTTTTACTGACAGTGGCCAGGTTGATGGATGTAGCTTGGTTTAAGCCTCAATTAGTGTGCTAGCTCCTGACTCCCCCGTCTCCAAGGAGTTCCATCTTGGAACAACAGCTCTGAGGGAATGCACAGGCAGATGCTGTTTCCCATGGCTGGATAGAGAGGAAGAGGAAAAGACCAGATCCCACATGCTCAGAACTTTCAGTACCTTATTTCCACCACATTAAAAATATAAGTTACCTACCAGTTAATTCATCTCTGTCATGAGAGAAAAGGTGGGACGTAGACTTGGAGAATTTAAAGAAAGCCATTCTTTATAGGGGTCAAGGGAAAGCCATTTCCTTCTAACATTGGTGAACATACTCTGGAAAAAAAAAAACCAAAAACATTGTCTTGATTACTAAGAAGAAATAACTGATATGATAATAACTAACATTTTTCAATATTTACATGTAACAGTATTCAAGCTGGGGATATACTTCAGTGGTAGAGTGCTTGCCTGGATGTGTAAAGCCCTGGATTAATTTCCAGCATTGGAAAAAAAAAATTCAGTGTTTACCTTTGCCGAATATCCCAGTAGACTCTTCAAAAGTATAATCCCATTTAACCCTCTCACTTGCCTTATGAGGAGTTGTTCTTCATATTTGGTAAGAAGTCTGAGGCACAAAAACGTTATGTATCTTTCCCTGGGTCACAGCTAGTATATTAGCTATCCATTATTATATAATAACTCTAAAACTTTGTAGCTGAAAGCACCAACTTATCTTTTCTTGTGAATGTGTACTTCAGGCTCCAAGGGGTGGAACCACTCAGTTGAGGTTGGATGACCCAAGATGGCTCCCCTCCCATGGCTTCTGCCTCATTTGGGATAGCAGGAAGAACTGGGATCTGGTTAAAACTCTCTTTTTTATTTCATTCTTCAGAGCCTTTGTCTCTTCACCTGGCCTTATTCTCCAGCAAGGTAGTTTGGCCTCTTTATATTGGATTAGGCTTCAGGAGGGGGAACATAGAAACTGATAGTTCTGAAGGCCTAGGCCCCAAAGTCACATCACATCACTTCCACTACATTCTTTTGGTCAAAGCAAGGCAAAGGTCAGCACAGATTCAGGAAGAAAGGAAATAGTCTTCACTTCCTCAAAAAAGTTGTGATACACATGTTCAGAGAAGGAAGCAGTTGTTGGTGAGTGTCTCTGCAGACAGTCATCCATGCTCATAAGTGGAAGACTGGCACATGAAAGCAGTCTGACTCTAGAATCATTGACCCCAGGGCTCTGCTGCCTTCTTGAAAAACAATTTGGATCAATAACAAGCTGAATAATCTACCTTCCTCTGAATCCATGTTTCTATTTTTAAAACTACTTTTGAGAGAGATTGCCATAAAAAAATGTTCTATCAAATAAGTTTGGAAATTACTGTACACTGTTAATTTTTAGAAATATCCACATGTGAGTGTTTTAATGGCCTTAAGAAGAAACCTATATAACTTTTCAAACAAATTTGATGACTATTAAAATATCAAAACATTTAACTTTCTATGAAAGCCCAGTTTTAACTAAGGTTAAAGTATAAACTACTGAATGCTAAGGAAAATCCGACAAGAAAATCCAACTTCCTCATTCATAATTCCTGATACAAACTATGATTTTCTCTCCCTACTTAGGCCTCTGGTGCGCAGTCTGGCTGGGCACAAATAACCGAGCCGCCACAAAGCCTTGTAGATTCAAACAGCAACTCTTTGTTCCCCAACTCTCACCAGCACTGCACGCACCACACGGGAACACACTCCCTCCACTGGGCTCTGTCCATTCTCTCCGAACCCCCTCGAGAACTGCGGGGGAACTCCAAAGTAGCAGGTGCCCGAGGCAGCAAGAGGCAGCAAGAGCTGCCCTATTGCCCGACAGTAAAGGTCAAATATACAAGTCAATCAATCCAGCATCACAGCAATTTTGTGAGGGCCTTGATTTGCTGATGGGGGAAGGGACAACTGTTTGTGTTCTTTTCTTCATTTTTGCCCAAGATTCAGGGTCCAAAGCAGGAGCATCCAATTGGGTTAGCTTGGGTCCCTTGGCCTCTATGGGTGAGGGAGAGTGGAGACCCTAGTTGGATTCCATCACACTATAGACAATCCCTCATTTAGAATGATTCAACTTAGAATTTTTTGATTTTATAATGGTGTGAGAATCATATGCGCTCAGTAGAAACTGTATTTTGATCTTTTTCTGGACTAGCAATATGTCAAATCATCCTCTCTTGGAATGTTGAGCAAGCCACTGCTCCCTCAGCCACTTGATCATGAGGTGCAACAGCCAGTACTCCACAGGTGCTGTGTTGCTAAGTCAGCTTGTTTATTAGGCTAGGTGTGTTAAATATATTTTGATTTACAGCAGTTTTAACCTACAGTGTGTTTATTGGAATATAACCTCATCATTAAGTGGAGGAACATCTCTATATATTTAAGGAATAATATCAATAATAGAAATTAGTTTTGTTTTAGGAAGAAGAAATACATAATAAGGTCTCCAATATGAATGAAAACCCATTACACCTTCCTTATCTATATGATCTTGTCCTGGGTTTGTATATAGGATCTTTAGAGTCTGTCATTAACCTACATTTCTTCACTCATTTGTTACTTTTCTGAAACTTCTGCTCTTGGCAGGCCTTAGACTTTGCATGACATTCCATGCCTCTATACTGAGGTTTAAGCTGCCTAAAAAATCTCTCTCATTCCTGCCTTTTATCTTCATACCCGAGAAACTCTTATTTACCCTTCAAGGTATGACTCCTATTTTACTTTTATTATAATGCAAGTCAGAATTAAACAGTCCCTTTCCTTGTATTTCAGTGCAAAAGTGCATGCTTATACATGTCTATGTCATAATATTACTATGTTGTGATGTCATCATGACAAGAGCAGAAACTATGCATGACTTATATTTCTGTTCATT